CCTGGTACAGCCGCCACACCAACCAGCCTGGGCACTCAACGATTAACGAAATGTCAGGCTTCACTTGGGTTTCGCAGTTTTCCCATGAATGTCCTCTTTCTTTTCAGGATCCCATCTGCACTGCATGTAGTCGTCGTGTTTTTTTTAGTCTCCTCTGGTCTGTAACAGTTTCTCAATCTGTCCTTGTTTCTCAAGACTTTGACAGTTTTGAGGTGTCTGGGTCAGGTACTTTGTAGAATGTTCCTCAGTGTGGGTCTACTTGATGTTTATCTCCTGGTTAGATTGGAGTTATGGGTTTTTGGAAAGAACACTAAAGAGGCGAGACCTCCTTCTCCTCGCACATTGTACGTGACACGCGCATGACATGCTGGGGACGTTCGCCCCATCACTTGGTGAAGGTGGTGGCTTCCAGGTCTATGTCCTCGTAAGCTACAAGTTTTCATTTCCCCTATAACATTCTTTACAGCCCATGCTTGAGGGTGTGTGTGGGGGGCTGTTCAGAGGGAACAGGGCCAGTAGAACAGCTGAGTCCCCACAGCAGGATGGGGTTCCACTTGTTCCCGCTGCTGGGGCTGGCCCTACGGGCACTGTTGGTGGGCAAGCAGGAGCCCAGAGCCAGGAGTGCAGGTGGGGAAACTGAGGCCCAAAGCTTTGGTACCCAGAGGGTCCCGTGGATGGGAAGGGCTGGTGCAGAGGCCCTAGCACTGGGTTAAGAACAGAAGCTTGGAAAGAATGCCACTGTCCTCAGAAGGGAACCAAGTAAAGAAACATTGGCTCCTCCAGAAAGAAGGAGGTGGCTTGTGGTGATTTAAGACATCCTCCAAAATAAATTGTTAGGGAAAAGGCCCAAAGCAAAACAACTGGTCAGGGAAGCCCACAACTGTGTGAGAATTTCTCCCCTGACAGAATGTGTAAGAATTTGCGCGTATTTGCTGGAAATGTTTCTGGAAGAGGGCTCCAGAGAACGGGGAAGGGGATGGGGTGAGGGAGGGGGGAGTCTGACTTTTCACCAATGCAACTTGGAACTTTTAAAATTTTGTGTGATCTTCATGGATTACCTAGTCCAAAACTCAGCATGTTTTTAAAGTGTGGGGGGTGACTGCTGAGGGGAACGAGGTTTCTTTTGGCGGATAATAAAAACACTTTGGAATGAGTTTGATAACACTTTTTGGTTATGTCTGTGAACTATCTGAAGACACCAGAGATTTCAGGTGGGTAAATTTATGGTACGTGAATTATAGCTCAAGAAAGCTGCTGTAAAAATGTTTAAGTCAGGACTAGGGGTGAGGACAAGGCCTGATCAGGGGGCTTGGGTACAGGTGAGGTGACTTCAGGAGAGATATTTAAAATATTTTTTCATTTTGACTTAATTCTGGTCTTACAGAAGAGTCACAGGAACTAAACAAACAAAACCCACATTCTCTTCCCCAGATTCCTCAAAAAGTTGTAAACATTTTGCCATGGCTGCGTTTTCACTGGGTGGGTGTGTGTGTGTGTAGGTAATTTATTTTTTCTGAGCCAATTGAGAGTGAGCTGCAGATACAGTGCCCTTCGTGCATAAACGGGTTCATTGAATTAATACAATGCTATGAGCTCATCAACACATCTTATTCAAATTTTGCCAATTGTCTCAATAATGTCCTTTACAGGAAAAGAAATGACAGGGCGCAGGGTGCAGTTAGTGGTCACATTGTCTCCAGTCTCCTTGCCACTCTGACAGTTTTTCCAGCTTCCCCTGGGCTTTGGGAATCTGGGATTCGCGTGCACACTCTCCCTCCTGGCAGGGCTCAGGCCGTGCGTTGCCAGCAGGAACCACAGAGGAGTGCTCTGTCCTCGCCGTGCAGGAGCCTTTCTCCTTTTGTCTGTCCCCTTTCTGGTGATGTCCACCGCTTGGTGACGCTTAGCAGGTGTCTTCAGAGTGAGACCATGAGTTTTCCCTCCATTGTCACATTGAGATCTGAGGGTGTCCTGTGCTCCAGCTTCACCTGAGCGGGGACTTGGGGAAGATGTCAGCTGTTCACCAGCCTGTCCCTTTCTCCTCCCAACAGGGCATGGGAGGCAGGAGCCATTATAACACATCCCATGTTGCAAATCAGGAAACCGAGGCTCAGCAAATGAGGCAGCCCACCCAGGATCGTCCAGCTGGGGGGGGCTGAGCTGGGATTTGGCCTCAGCTGGCTGCCTCCCAAAGCCACAGATGTGGCCAGGATGGGGCACCTGGGAGTGTGAGATGGAGAGAGGTGGGTAGTGGGCATCCCAGGATTTTGGCTGGGCTGGGTAAGAATGACTCTTTGATGAATTGGGGACCCAAGAAGATGGGGCAGAAATGGAGATCCAACCATCCATTCGTGTATCTTCCTTCCTTCCATCCACATCCATCATCCATCCAACATCCATCCATCATTTGTCCATCATCCGTCCAACATCCATCCAATATCCATCCATCATCCATCCAACATCCATCCAACATCCATCCATCATCCATCCATCATCCATCCAACATCCGTCCAACATCCGTCCAACATCCGTCCATCATCCGTCCATCATCCGTCCAACATCCATCCAACATCCATCCAACATCCATCCAACATCCGTCCATCATCTGTCCAACATCCGTCCAACATCCGTCCAACATCCATCCATCATCCATCCAACATCCATCCATCATCCATCCATCATCTGTCCAACATCCGTCCAACATCCGTCCATCATCCATCCAACATCCATCCAACATCCGTCCAACATCCATCCATCATCCATCCATCATCCATCCATCATACGTCCAACATCCATCCATCATCCATCCAACATCCATCCAACATCCGTCCAACATCCATCCAACATCCATCCATCATCTGTCCAACATCCACCCATCATCCTTCCTTCCAGAGCACACCCTTTTCTAGGTCTGTGATGAACAAGACAGGTAGGACCCTGCCCTCATCTTGTGCATAGACTTGTGCTGAGCAAGTGTGTGTGTGCGGCTGTGTCCGGGAGGGGTTGGTGCTGGGAAGAGAGATGGGCAGAGTGAGGGCAGGCAGCTGGAGGAGGGGTGAGAGGCCTCTGTGAGAAGATTCCTGAGTAGATACCAAGTGAGGAAGCCAGACATGGGGTCGTGGGGGGGAAAGGTGCTCCAGGCAGCTGGGATGGCTCGTGCAAAGCCCTAACGCGGCAACAAAGGTGGCAGCTGGAGGAGCAGCAGGGGCCCTGTGTGGCTGGCGTGGAGTCAGGGAGAGAGGGCCAAAGGCTGCAGGGCCATGTGGGTCTTGTGGGTTCGTGGGTCACTGGGAATTTGGATTTTCAAAGCATGATGGGAAAGCATAGGGAGATATTGAGCTGATTTACATTAAATTTTTTATCAATCTTTTAAAATTCATGATTGGCCTAAAATTAAGTTTTATAACAGCTGTATTGAGAAATAATTCATGTACTATATAATTCACCCACTTGAAGTGTACACTTGGGGCTGGCCGGCTAACTCAGTTGGTTAGAGCGTGGTGCTGACACCACCAATGCCCAGGGTCAGATCCCTGTACCAGCCAGCCACCAAAAGAAATACAGTGTACAATTCTTTGAATTTTAATACATTCGCACAGTTGGGAAACCATCCCCTATTTCATTCTAGGACATTGTTATTGCCCCAAAAAGAAACCCCAACCCCATCAACAGTCACTCTTTGTCCCCTCCCCCAACCCAGACAACCAGGAATCCACTTTCTGTCTGTTGGATCAGCCTGTTCTGGACATTTCATGTAAATAGGTCACACACTATGTGGCTTTTTGTGTCTGGCATCTGTCACTGAGTATGCTGTGTTCAGCGTCCACCTGCATTGTAGCGTGTGTCAGAGCATCGTTCCTTTTCATGGCTGAGTAGTGTTCTGGTGTGTGGCTGGAACATGTTGTGTTTGTCCACTCATCCATCAATGGGGTTGTTTTCACCTCTTGGTGATTATTTTGAATTGTGCTGCTGTGAACATTCATGTACACGTTTTTGTGTGGATGGACTTTTTCGTTTCTCTTGGGTAATACCTAGGATCAGGATTGCTGGTCACACAGTGACCGTGTTTAACATTTGAGGAACTGCCACGCTGTTTCCACAGCGCCTGGGCCATGTTACATTACATCCACTGGCGAGAGGGTCCAGTTTCTCCGCTGGTTTACATTTCAAAGGACTCCTCTGGCTGCTGAGTAGGGTCTGGGCTATGGTACCCAGGGGGACCTGTGGGCGGGGGATCAGGATAAGGGACAGGAGGAATAGAGGGCGACCCCAAGTGTTAGCCTGAAAGTTTCAGGGAGCACTGGGGATTTTATCAAATAAAAATCCGTGTGGGTCCAAGAACTCACATAGGCCTGCAGGAGGAGTGTCACGGCAGGAGTAGGGGTGCCTAACTGTTGCTTCGCCTCCCATGGATTTGTCACCCCTTTCCCCCTGGGTGATGGAGCCACCAAAGATTACTCAAAGCCCATCTCTTCTGAGCAGTGAGAACCCCCGAAAGGGGGTTAATCTCCCAGAGCCCTCAAGATAGAGGCATTCCTTCCATTTGGGAAATTAACCCCGAGTTGGGCTTCTCTTCCCACATTTATTCTCCAGACCAGGAAATTACAGGAAGAGAACATAGGTGGGGGTTTTGCTAAGTACAGTTGAACAAGTTTAACAATAGAAGCTGGTAACATTCAGCCAAGGTGACCTTCCATAATGCAGTTTGCAACAAAAGCTTGATTTTAGCAAACATTCTCTTCTTACAGCAATTTCCCAGTATCTTTACATATCAATTGGTAACCTGTCTATCTTTGAGCCAGCAACCTTGCTGTGTTACAATTCTTTATCTTACAACAGAGACTATATAGCTTTGGGAAAATTTCCTGTCCTTTGCAAGGTCAATATTTGAAACTGCACGTCTTTGGAAAACCAGGCCCTGTGAAGTACATTTGCTTTTATGCATACTTCACACCTAACCTGGCTCTTTCTGCCGCCTCCCAGTAGGGAACATGTTGGAGGCTCAGATCATTGGGGGTCACGAGGCTGCCCCCCACTCACGCCCATACATGGCCTCACTGCAGAAAGCTGGCTCCCACCTGTGCTGGGGGGTCCTCGTGCACCACCAGTGGGTGCTGACAGCTGCCCACTGCCTGGCCAAGCCATTAGTAGTCCTACCCAGCCACTCAGTCTCCCTAGGTACCCCAGGAATCCACCACATGGTGCCCATTCTCACCAGGGGGGTGGGTCCTGAGAGATTTAAGCCATTTGTGGGGGCCTTCCCTTCCCCAGGGACAGATGAGGTGTGCATATGTGACATTAGGCTGCAGGGATTCCTGGGGAAGTTTCATCTGCAACAAGAAGCACAGGATGGCTGTCTCTTTCTACCTGGACCAAGTGGGGCCACTGTCACACTGCCACCCATGACCTTGAGGAGAAAGCTGGCCTGAAAGGTGGCAGAGCCATGTACCTCTAGACTGACCAATAATAAAGACCCAAGATCAAACTGGTTGAAGCAACAAAAGGGGATTTGTTGGGTCATGTAACTCAAAAGTGTGGGAGAGATGGCTTCAGATGCAGCTTGATCCAGGTGCTCAAGTGAGGTGCTAGGCTCTCCTGTCTTCCCTTTCAGCCACTTTATCAGGAAGGCTCTTCCACATGGTGGCAAGGATGGACCCCTTGAGTCATGTGGAAAGAGAGCTTGTTTCTCTATAGTTTGGGCAAAGTTATGAGGATGGGCACATGTCAACCTCTGAACAAATTAATGTGGTTGTGGCTAGAGTCCCCCGTGAGGAGAGATCCTGCAGCTGGTTTTCCAGAAGCCTCAGGGTGAAGGTTGGCATTTTTGGACACACAGCTCCTGTCCTGGGGCCAGGGCTGAGCGGGAATTGGAGTAAGGAAGGCTACCTGGATGGTGCAGATTGAGAAGACATATGGAAAGACTTGGCAAGGGGTCCTGCTGGTGTGCGTGGGCCAGGGTGTGGGGGGGAAGAAGTCCTCGGCCCTACTGTGAGTGATGCACAGGGGACCGGGGCTGCATGCAGCAGGGGTTGCCCAGGCAGGGCCAGCCGTCCACACCCTGATTCCCACTACTTGCAGGACGGAACTGCTGAGGCTGGTGCTGGGGCTGCACCACCTCCACGACCTCCACCTCGCCTTTCACATCGGGAGGGCTGTCCAACACCCTGACTACAAGCTGGCCCCAGACCTGGAGAACGACCTTGCACTGGTTAAGGTGCTGGGGGGACAGGGGAGGGGAATTGAGAGCTTGCTCCTCCCCCAGTCGCACCTCACTCACCTGCCCCTTCCTGTCTGTCACCTGCAGCTGGACAGGAAGGTGAAGCCCAGCAGGACCATCCAGCCCCTGGCCCTGCCTAGAAGGCCCCAGGCCATGGTGGCGGGAGCCTGGTGCCACGTGGCCGGGTGGGGGCCGATCCCCCAGGGTGGGCAGCTGGCCCAGGCCCTGCAGGAGCTGGATGTCTGCTTGCTGGACGCCAGAATGTGCAATAACAGTCGTTTGTGGCATGACAGCATTATCCCTCACATGGTCTGCCTAGCTGCTGACTCCAACAACCAAGCCCTCCGCAAGGTGACGGGTGTGTGTGTGGGGGGGACAGCTTGGCCTGGCAGGAGGGCCATGGGCTCCACTGTCTGCACCCACAGCAGCCCGTGGCCAGGATGGTGACCCAGGCAATCCCTGTCACTCCCATCCTCTGGGGAGTCCTGGAAGGTGGCAGCAGACCTATTTGTCAGGTACAGGTCCAGAGGCACAGAGAGGTTAAGCAACTCGCCCAACGTCACACAGTCCAGGAGCTGTAGCACTGTGGTGTGAACTCCAGCACCAAGGATGATCTGGGCACAGAGTACCACATGTGCTAAGGTCCTGGGGTGGGAAGAAGCTGATAGCATTCAAAGGACAAGAAGGAAGGAGGGAGGAGGGGATGTGTGTAGGGCTTGTGAATAGCCCCAAGTGTCTTACCAAGCCCTGGGGATAACCAGGCTCCAGCTGGGGTACCCTGGCCACCCTCCAGTGGGCACAGAGGCTAACCCATGCTGTGTCCTTCCAGCAGGGTGACTCAGGCAAGACCCTGGTGTGTGGCAAAGGCCGACTAGCTGGGATCCTGTCCTTCAGCTCTAAGACCTGCACTGATGTTTTCATGCCTCCCGTGGCCACGACCATGGCCCCCTATGTGTCCTGGATCCAGAAGATCATTGGCCGCTGGCCATCCCAGCCTGTGGCCTGATGCTCTGTGGCAACAGGGCTAGCAGGAGCGACAGGGGAGGGGCAGGGAGGGGACTGGGACTGTCTTGAGGTAGGGAGCAATAAACTGTGATAAAGAAACCGGCTGAGCCTGCCTGGATTCTGACCCCACCTCTGCCCATGTTGAGTTGTGTGGCCTTGGGGGAGACTCAGTTTCCCCGCTTGTAAAATGGAGGTGGCTTCTCCTGAGGCTTCTCCTGGGAAGGGCTCAGCATCACGGGAGCTAGAGGCACCTGCTGCCCGCGTGCTGGGCCGTCCTCCCATTCAGCGAGCGAGCACCTGTGTGTTGGGGGTGCTGGGCACCGGGGCACAGGACTTATTTAGCCAGGGTGGGGGAGACACCAAACAAAATGTCCCAGAATCTTCTTTATTAACATCTTTATTGAGATATAATTCACTACCGTATAATTCACCCACAGAAGGTGTGCAATTCAGTAGGTTTTAGTATATTTAGAGTTGTGCAACCATCACATCTAGTTCCAGAACATTCCGTACCTTCACACAAACGACGACACTGTAAGCCCTCTTCAGCATACAGTTCCTTCTTACTTTGTAACTTTTTGAAAGAACCAAGGAAGAAATGCACCAGGCTCCCGCCCATCCTGGGAGGCCCCGCCCCCGTATCCTAGCAGCGCCGGGACACGCCTCTCCAGCCTTGGAGCGCGGCACCCCGGGATCACGTTCCGCCATCGCCCCGCCTCCGCCTCCGTAACGCCAGCCTGGCCGAGCCGGCGCGTGCGCAG